GGCATCCCGACGTCGACTCCGAAAGGAAGCTCGCGAGAGGGAAAGAGAGGAAAAGAACCAATGATTATTTTTTAATTCGTGATTTTGAGCTTCGTCTTCATTTTTTAAAATTTGGTAGAAGAGTGACAAGCAAGATTGTTATTGTATATATTATGTGTTATGTGAAAAATTATAAAGTATCAATTAACATCAATGTCAATTATTATAAATTATTATCTATAATATATAGTATAATTATGCATGGTATATATAATAATATCATGTATGACCGGTACGTCTGTTAATTGGTAATGTAAACTTTTTTCTAAGATCATGGTCGGCTAGCTCCCCTTACATGAATTTTCAGGCTCCGCCCTGCACAATATTCTAATAACATATTATGTATTTGTATTTACCATATTATATAGCAAGCAAATTTTTATGTGGACCATAAAAAGTATATTTTTATTCTTATTTTAATACACTAAAAGTACATTATTTGTGTACTAAATGTACATTATATAAAATAATACAATTTCTGTTATATAAAATAATACAATTTCTGTTCCAAAATTGTTAAGAATATAGCGGAATAATGCGGAAGCGAAGAATCAAAAATTGAGAATTATAGAAGTTAAATAATAGGGGAGAATATCTAAATGACAAAATAAGAAATTGATGAATTGGAAATATATATATATATATATATATATATATATATATATGTGTGTGTGTGTGTGTGTGTGTGTGTGTGTGTGTGTGTGTGTGTGTGTGTGTGTGTGTGTGTGTGTGTGTGTGTGTGTGTGCTACGTAAGGAATGAAGGATAAATGAACTCAAATGTAAATTGATGTAAGAGGTGTGTTTACAAAGCAAAACATCAAAACTATTTATACATTTCAAAAGAGAGAATTGCGCATGTAAAAATGGGAACATGTGCAGTACGTGGGTGATGGATGGTGCGGCATGCAGATGCTACGTGGTTGATGCTGCATGGCGAATGAAAGACTAATTCTTCAAGGATTTGAGGCACCAAAATTATTATTTCTCAAAAATCTCCACCTTGGATCAAATCTAGTGTAAGAATTAACAATTGCAACAGTCGACTAAACTCAAGCACTACTTGAACTTAGCAACAGGAAGAACCTCGGAATAACAGGATGGAACACCATCAACCTCCTGTGTGACTGAAAGAGCATAAGCAACCAAGTTGGTTTCATCATCACTAGCATACCTAGCAGGTTTTTTAATTGTCCTCCTAAGACGATCCATAGCAATGGAATACTCTCGTTGTGGCTCGATGAGAGGTGTGATGATAGTAGATGCATCATCTTTAGTATTATCATTAGTGGTAGTAATATTGTCAATAGGCCTGAACTCAAACTCCACCTTCTCACCAGTACATTGCGTCTCATCTATACTGGGAACTTTTCCAGAAGAAAGTAGTGCATTTTCGTCAAAAGTGATATCGCGACTCAGAATGATTTTCTGAGAATCAGGAGACCATAGACGATACCCTTTTGACTCAGAAGCATAACCAAGGAAAATGCATTTGACAGCTCGAGGGTTTAATTTACCCATACTGGAATGAGCATAAGCAGGACATCCAAAAACTCTTAAGATAGAGTAGTCAACATGATTACCTGACCAAACTTCCTCTGGAGTCTTGAAATCAAGGGATGAATGTGGAGATCTATTTACTAAATAGCAAGCAGTAGAAACGGCCTCGGCCCAAAAATCATGTTGTTTCCATAACCCAGCATTAGAGAGCATACAACGAGCTCTTTCCAATAGAGTCCTGTTCAAACATTCGGCAACACCATTCTGCTGGGGTTTACCAGGCAAGGTCTTGTGCCTGGCGATTCAATTTGCCGCACAAAAGTCATTGAAATCTGACTCACAGAACTCCAAGCCATTATCTGTCCTGAGCTTCTTGACTATTTTACCTATCTGAGTCTCAACAAGTATTTTCCACTTCTTGAAAATAGAAAATGCCTGATTTTTATGTTTCATGAAATAGACCCAGACTTTACGAGAAAAGTCATCAATAATAGATATAAAATATCTACAACCTCCCATAGACTGGAATTTAGTCGGTCCCCATAAATCGGAATGTATATATTCCAATACATCTTTGGTACGGTGTGCAGCAGTAGAGAAACTAACCCTCTTTTGTTTCCCAAAAACACAATGCTCACAAAATTGTAATTTACCCGTACCTGAACCAACAAAGAGGCCTTTCTTGCTCAGGATATGCATGTCTTTCTCACTCATATGCCCCAAACGCATATGCCATAATTGAGTGAGATCCGCATCAAACATCGATGAGGATACCGCTACTGAACCTGTCACAGTACTGCCATGCAAGACGTACAAGATTCCAGAACGAGAAGCTTTCATGAAAACAATAGAGCCTTTTATGACTTTCAGAACTCCACCTTCAGCTATGTACTTGCACCCTAGAGATTCTAAGGTGCCCAATGATATCATATTGCGTTTCAAATTAGGAATATACCGAACATTGGTAAGAGTCCTGATAATGTTATCATGAGTTTTAATCTGCACACTTCCAATTTCACTAACCTTGCATTGGGTATCATTACCCAGCAAGACAACTTCATCATCAATCGGTTCCAGAGAGACGAACCAGTCTTTATGAGGACACATGTGAAATGTACAACTAGAGTCCAAAATCCACTCAGTTTCGCTCCGTTTGCAACCGGAGCTAACAGATAACATAACATCGCCTTCTGAATCACTTTCAACAACACTAGCTTCAACAGACTTCTGTTCTCTATCTTGCTTGTTTTTCAGCTTGAAGTATTCAATCACATCATGACCATGTTTCTTGCAGTACTTACAGGATTTGTTGGACTTATGTCCTTTGGACTTGGATCTAGAATTTTTATTGCTACTCCCTGATTCAAGTGAACGACCCCTTAGGGTAACCTTCACCTTTGTCCTCAGACTTAATTTCAAAGTCAAACTTTTCTTGGGACAATAGGTTTGACTTAACACTGTCGAAAGTAAGGGTATCACTACTATTACCATATAGCATAATTTCTTTGAAATGCTTATATGATTTAGGGAGAGAGACAAGCAATAAAACAGCGTGATCCTCATTTTCAATTATGACATCAATATTTTCCAAGTCCAATAAAATAGAATTGAATTCATCCAAGTGAGATTTGATAGAAGTATCTTCCGCCATACGGATTGTGTACAGACGCTCCTTTAGGCGTAGCGTGTTCACCAGAGTTTTTGCCATGTAAAGCGTATCCAGCTCGGACCATAAATCTGACGCAGTCGTCTCACTTACTACCTCACGTAGAACCTCTTTAAACAGGCATAAAAGAATAGTTGAACGTGACTTGTCATCCAAATCTTTCCAATCTTCATCTGTCATTGTAGCCGGTTTCTTCTTCTTCCCAGCTAGCGCTTTCTTCAAACCGTTTTGGGTTAAAACGGCTTCCATCTGAACCTTCCAGATAGAAAAGCTAATTTTCCCCTCGAACTTCTTGATATCGAACTTAGTGACAGTTGACATCTTTGGAAATAACTCTCAATTAAACCGCTTTGATACCACTTGTTAAGAATATAGCAGAATAATGCGAAAGCGAAGAATAGAAAATTGAGAATTATAGATATTAAATAATAGGAAAAATATCTAAATGACAAAATAAGAAATTGATGAATTGGGAATATACATATATATATATATATATATATATATATATATATATATATATATATATATATATATATATATATGCTACGTAAGGAGTGAAGGATAAATGAACTCAAATGTAAATTGGTGTAAGAGGTGTGTTTACAAAGCAAAACATCAAAACTATTTATACATTTCAAAAGAGAGAATTGCGCATGTAAAAATAGGAACATGTGCAGTACGTGGGTGATGGATGGTGCGCCATGCAGATGCTACGTGGTTGATGCTGCATGGCAAATGGAAGACTAATTCTTCAAGGATTTGAGGCACCAAAATTATTATTTCCCAACAAAAATAATGTATTTTCTTTAAATACAAGATACATTTGTAATATACTAAAAAAATAAATTATTTGTGTACTGAATGTACATTATTTGATAATATATAAAATAATACATTTTCATCATTCAAACAATGTACTTTAGGTATACAAATAATGTAATTTTTATTTCTGGTTCAAATAGTTGTGTGAACCATGATCTATGCAATAACGACTCGTATATGTAACTAACATGTTAAGTGTCTTTAATTTATTTAAAAACACAAACTATTAATTGCAAATACAAAATATGTCAAAGTCCACAATGCAAAATGGACCATAATCCATGGTATAACAATGGCCGAAACGGCGCCTAAGTCAATCTCACAAATCACAATAACCTACACGATCTCGGCAGATAATATTGGTGCCAATAGTTGATGACAATTGACAAAGACACCCACCCAGCCACCCTGCCTAATATAATACTTGACCCACCCATCTACCCACCCACTGGCCACCGCAAACAAGTTTTGGCACCACTCCACATCTCAACTATAAGAAACCGGGAGACGGAGTTATCCAAATAGCGCAGAGGTCAATTCGTTCTGCGCCGGACATATCATGTGCTCCAGCGCCACACCACAATTACAAACAACAAAAGATTCATAGTATCCTCCGACACAAAAACAAACCCACACATCTAATCCCACCAAATGCACATGACCAATCACTCTCAAAGCATTAATCCACACTTGGACTCCCGTTTCCTTTTCCAAGTCAATACTATGTACTAGACGGAGCAACCGTGTTGAGAACCTAGCTGAAAGTGTCAGTCCATAAACAATATACGATAAAGACATGTTAACTACCGAGCCACAGCATTCTAGGCAGGTATACAGTTCATTAACCTTACAAGTACTTATAAGTTCCAACAAAGAAATGCTAACTCAACGGGGGTATTTAGGACTACTGCTCTGGATAAGAAAGCCGGATACTCCCACATATCATTGTGTAAATGGTTTTACCTTAAGGAGTGGTGATTTCAAAACCCAATTCATAAGTGTCCATGTCAGTTCAGAAATCTTAGAATTTTGCACACTGGTGAAAATTTAAATGAGTTGCAAGCTAATTTACAGAAACAGAAAAGCCGCAGTGTTTTTCCAAGCAGCCTTTTCTGTTTTCATTTGAGGAAATGATAAATTAACCTACCAAGGAAACGGGAAGAACATCAAGATATTCATCCTACTTTTTTCCTTCAACTATATTCAAACCTGTTTAGTCCGGATATTAAAATGTCACTAAACCCCCATTGTAGAGGGAGAAGTGGAAGCAGAACGAATCAAAGACATGGATGGGGAATTACGGCTTCTCTGTCTTCTATTACTTGTTGCAGACCTCGTAGGACGAGGAGGCATGATATTGGTATTGGAAGAAGTTACAAACCTACTCGAGTGGCTTCTTAACTTTTTCTTGTCAGACAATCTATCTTCAGCCTTAACATGCCGAACTTTTGTCTCATTCAAGCCAGCTGGGAGGACACAATTGCAAAGAAAACCTTCAAAGTAGAACAGCAAAATAATTAAATAACCTATCATAAACTCCATACTGCAGTTCAAAATAATAATTTATCAAAGGATTATGACAAAAGGTACTAATTCCTTCATCACATATTAACCTACATCATGGCCACAGAGGTTAAAACATATATTATATTATTCCCATCCAAACAAGATCCATGCTTTCAGATAGCCTTTCCCAATTTTCAAAATGTATTAATTTATAATGAGCATGGTAAAGCGGGACCACCAAATAGGATATTACTTATGACTGCATGGACCATTATATCATAGACAAAGCATCCTAAGCAATGTGTATAGAAAGGAACCCGTCATCATTACACTCAGTTTTCAAAACCAAGAGAACTACTCTGAATATTTTAATGTGCATATAAAAACCAGTTTCTTTTTAGCATTTTGGTATAGCAGCAAAGACATTTTTTTTATAGGAACTCAATGAAGCTTATTCTTTACTCTATTCCCCAACCCCCTTCCCAAAAAATAATATAATAATAATACAGCACAAAAGTAAATGAAAAAGCAGCTGAAGCAAGCAAAGCAAAGGAAGAGGAACTCTAAAGCAAAAGGCAGTTTCTTACCCATTTCCTATTTAGAATTTCAGACTATGATAAAATAAAGAAATAATACTCCGCAGAAAACTACAATCCTGGAGAGTTAATCAACATAATAAAATAAACTATGCTAGTACTAGAAATATCAGTCTTTTTAAAACCTTTTCTTCCCCTATAAAAAAATTTGGCTAATCCCCAGGCCCCAGGCTTTGGACAAACACAATATAATGGCCATTAATTACAGATAGCACAAAGCAAAATGAGAATAATGGAGTGTTGGGTATCTATGACAAGAAACAAAATATGCATGTACTTGCATCACTCAACCAAAAAGAAGTTTTTAGTTTTTTTATTTGGCACTTGCTCAAAGGATAGGGATGGGGTGGATATATGAAACAAGGACAAATGTTTATTACCAAGACGAGCAAGCCGATTCACCCATCTGGGAATTGGTTTCCCTGTCAATCGGGTGCATACATCATTGCAAAAATGGTTGCAGTTTTTTGTGATGAGATTGTACGAGTTGCCACTATACTCCTCTGCAAGTTTCTCCATAAATGCACGGACCTCTTTCGGACCCAAGTCAGTTCTCCCAATGAGTATTGACTTTCTGAATGTGAATCCCGGGCACTGCTTTGGTTCTACTTCAAATATGCCAGTTGTGGAATGTTCATGTGCACCAAAACCATATTCAACCCCATGAACTATCAAAATAAGAAGATTTGTGTCACAAAATTTTGAGATCTTAATGGAAAAAAATTAATAACTGCATTTCCAAATTGTTGAACTTCTAAATCTTTCCTTATAATTAAGTCACCATTGAAAACAAAGCCATTTTGACTTACCTAACACACCAACAAATATTAGCAATATATATTACTGCATCAAAAACAGGAACTTGTGGTACAACCCTAGTCTAGCAATATATTCAATATTGTCCGCTCAGATAATTTTAACTTCAAATTAGACATTTCCATCAACAACATCAAGTAATTAGAACTTCCATGGAGACAGATTTTTATACCTCATTCACATAAACTAGTTCTCCCTACTACATTGCACAGAATGGCAAAAGCCAGTGCAATCCCCAAATTTTACATTCCTTACTATTCTTCAACGCAAGATAAATGAGACTATGCTTATAAAATTACTCATGTAGCAATGTTTTTTAAAAAAAAAAAAAATTTAAAAATGAAAAGTTAAAAACCCAGAAAATGAATTAAAAGCTAAACAAATCACCATATGATCTGCAGAAAAATACTAATAAGGATGCAAATCAACCAATTCCGAAAAATCCTGGCTCTTGCAACTAATTTACCAAAGACAAATCTAGACTTTCGCAAATTTCTACGGCCAAAAGGCGGCCTCAAATGGTTTTTTACCCACACAAAATAGTGACAGAAGAAGCAGGAAAAAAAAAAAGAGTAAAATTGTTACTACAAACAAAACAGAGTAAAACAAACAAACAAACCTTGGACGCCGGAGTGGTAAACCCCTAGGCCGAACCAGTAAGCGTAGCCATTGATTGGGGTGAGATCATATACGTTCAGGTACACCGGCACCGCCCCCGTCTTCCTTTTCCGGCTCAGTACTATCGTTTTGCACCACATCCTTCCTCTCCCTCTCTCCCTCTCTTTCTCTCTAAAACCAAACAGTGAATCGATAAATCTCGCTTTTCAAACAAAGCAGAACGGCTTTACAGCTGCAAATCCGCAAACCCGCTTAGGGATTCGCAAATCGCAGCTCTATAAATTCCGCGAATTTTCTTGGAAGCGTGAAGTCTCTATTCCTTCTTACACTTTTCGAGTGCTTGCCGTGAATTGCAAAATACGTATATATATACGAGTGCGTATACTTGAAATCTACACTTCGGCGACACGCGCGCATCAATTACAGTGAATTAATTATGCGATTATTCATATTTACGGTGGAGAATTAGCAGGAAAGAGAGTGATAAAGGGTTGGCGAGCGCAAAAAATGAGTGGAATCTGAATGTATATGCATTTTTAATTTAATTTGTGCAAATTACATGCCGTTATATATACGTCAACATTATCCAAATTCCTTCGGGTTTCCCGGCGACCCGATTATCCAACGACGTCGCTTCGCTTTGTATGCAGTTATGCACGCCGCGACCAAACTTTACTTAATGGTTTACTACTTTACTTCACGTGAACTCTGGACTTTGTGATTTCTAACGTTTACAACTGAGTTCGTTATTGTTTCTAGTGTAAATTGTGGTATTATTACATTTAGTTTTTTTAAAATAAAAATTAATTGTATTATATTATTGACTTTTACTCCGTATTTGTTTATTACATTTAGTTCTTTTTTAAATGTTATAATTACAACATTTAATAACTATGACTAACATATAATTTTATCATTCATTTAAAAAAGTTCGCAAGAGAATGAGAAATTGCATATTGGTAAAGATGCACGGTTGAAAATTATGGAATTTCCGACCACCTAAAAGTGATCTTAAATCAAGTTGAAAGTAAAAAATGGTCGGAAATAGCAACAAAGGTTTTCCGGATACCAAAAGTGATCGGAACAAAACTTTCGACTTGATTTAAGATCACTTTCAGGTGGTCGAAAATAATTATCTAGATGACTAAAATATTAAAATGTGACAAACAAATGAAAGGTTGCCTATTTGGCTAGATTTAACTTTTTGACTTGATCAAATAACTAAAATGATTTTAAATGAATGCTTGAATATGAAAATTTTTCCTCTCGCCATCTTTCGCGAGTGTTTCCCTGTTTCTCTTCTTTGAGAGTTTTCTTGTTTTTTTCTTCTGAGTTTTGCTCCAATGGATACTGACAGTGCCATGAACGCTTTGGCTACGTTATCCCTTGCTGACTTAGACGATGATGATGGCCTGCATCAGGTTGGTAATGTGACGGTAGGGTTTGATCAGGCTGAAGGGGAGTACTACGTCGTTAGACGCTTGGTGACCAACAGATCTGTCAAGTTTCAGTTCTTCAAAGACACTATGGCTACAGTTTGGATGCCTGCAATGGGCATGAATGTTAAGGAACTTCAACCTGGCCGATATTTGTTTCGTTTCTTTCATGAAAGTGATGTTGACAGGATTGTTGATGACGGACCATGGGCGTTTGAGCAAAATGTACTCATTCTCAAATGTTTATCCATGGGAGAGGACCCAGAGTCGATGGCTTTAAATCATGTTCAGTTTTGGATTCAAATCCATGGCCTTCCGGCTGGCTTTCGTACTGAGGCAGTAATGCAGGCAATCGGAGGTTTCATTGGAAGGCTGGTGTGTATGGACGAACGGAACTTTGATGGCTCAATGATGACCTTTTTCCGGATTCGGACTAAAGTAGAAGTCACAAAACCTCTAAAAAAGGGAATGAGATTGCGACGGGATTCCGGTGAGTGGGTGAAAGTTGAGTTTCGGTATGAAAGATTACCGACTTTATGTTTCATTTGTGGTGTGATTGGTCATGGTGACCGAGTATGCCCGAAAAAGGTTCATGGATGGGATGCGAAGGCGGATAAGCCTTTAGGACCGGAATTGAGAGCTGGTAACCGAAAAAATATTCAATCACTAGGGCAGAAGTGGATAGCGCCGGAAACCACCGTGGAAAGGAACTCGTGGGTGGCGCCGGGAGCATGCGTTGACGCTGATAAAAAAGGTAAGGATAAAAGAGTTAATGCTATTGATTCTCTTACCATATCAACGCTCGGTAAAGGTGTAGGAGTTATGCATGGTCAGAATGCAACTCATAAGGAAATAATTGGTGAGGGATCATCCTCGGGATTAAGCAGTCATGTAACGGAAATAAATGATTCTGTTGTTATCATTGACCAGAAGCGTCGTCGTATTGAGGGGAACAACGAAGTTGATGTGGATGTCGTTATGGACGATGAGCAACTGGGTTCAAAAAACTTGCTTTTGGCGGGACATGGTGCGGACTAGTCCCGCCCTTCCTAATGAGTTCCTTATGCTGGAACTGTCGTGGTCTTGGCAACCCACACACAGTTCGTGAATTTTTGGCCTTAGAAGCTAAGGTCAAGCTGGTTTTTATTTTTTTAATGGAAACAAAGGTACAGAGGGGGCATGCAGAGAGACTGAAAATCAAAATGAATTTTGAAGGATTGTTCTATGTGGATACAGGAGGGATTGGAGGTGGTTTAGCTTTGTTTTGGAGGGATAAAGATGTTGCGAAGTTGATCAGCTACTCGGTTAATCATATTGACATTCAGGTTCAATTGTCGGGCTTGAGTCCTTGGAGAACGACTTTCTATTATGGCTTCCCGGAACGAAGCAGACGTCAACTAGCTTGGGATTTTTAGCGATCCCTTAAAAATAAGTCTGATCTTCCCTGGCTTGTAGTCGGTGATTTTAATGATATATCGTCTTCGGAGGAAAAGAGAGGCATCCATCCCTTGTAACGCTTTATCCGTTACTATTATTATAACATTAGGATAAGTTATGATAATATTCAGTATTTGATATGTGGTGCAACACTAATAACCTAATAGCTAGACTACCATTATGATTAGGAGTCTAGTTTAGGGTTTAGGAGACCTAAAGACATACAACCACAATGATGGACAGTGGTTATATAAGGTCACTAGTCCTCTCACTGCTCACAGTACATACCTCATGCACCATCTAGAGAGAGCTGAGTAAAGTGAGAGACAAAATACTCGTGTTATCTCTGCAGCAGTCCGGATCGTTCAACCGTCTCAAAAACTATGGCTGGAGGTTAGTCGGTCCTGTATAAGATATTATATACTTGTGATATATTTAGTCTAACAGTTGGTATCAGTTGCCTGTATAACCTCTGCCTAGTTCTTTTTTGCATATAATTTTTTTTTTAATATGTTGTATACTTTGTATAATTGAGATACATATTTAAATATTTGTATGCAATTGTATTATCTGGGATGCTGAAAATTAAGTATTTTTCCGCATTAAGAAACAAAAAAAAAAAAAAATTAATTGGATATTTTTTTTTTTTGGAATCTGCTTCACCGTTTCTCCTTTTTTTCTTTCTCTGGAACTTCCGGTCGCCGGATTATGGTCTCGCCGGCGGCCATTCCGGTTCTGGAGACGGTTTTTATGGCGGTGCAGAGGAACTTTTGGATGGACTACTTCGCGACATGGCTACGGCGGACGGATGGCGGCGGCTTTGGCGTTGCGCGGAGGTCAGGTGGCGGCGGCGGCGCTGGGCTTCAGGCGACGTTGCCTGCTATTTGCTTCCCTATAGGCGCGCTGGGCTTCCGGCGATTCGTCCTCTAAGGCTGCTTCTGTTGTTGCTGCTAGTCTTGCACTCTTGCGTGAAGAAGATGAATGAAGATAGATTAAGGTTTGGGTTGAGTCTGGCCAATTGGACCAGATCTGGGCTCTTAATAAAAAAAAAAAAAAACTTTTGCATAATTTTACATCCGTAATATTATCCGCAGTGTTCTTTTAGTTCCGCCTGCAGATATACCACCTACTGTTGAGGTTCCACAAACTGTTGAGGATCAGCCTTTGGAAGAACCAGCTCAGGATTTACAGCAATCGCCTGAATTAGATTTCGAACCAATGGTTGAACCAACTCAAGACATATAGCAAAATTCTGAGCCGATGCAGACTGAACCAATTCAAGAACTGCTACCAGTTCCTGAAGAGGTAGTTTCCCCGCAGCCTGTACACGGCGATGGGGGTCTAACATTAAGATAGTCTACTCGAATTAGGGGATCAGCAGTTCCTAGTTATTATGTTTCGTATCTACAAGAATCTGATATAGGGGCCGACAATGATCCTGAAACATTCTCTCAAGCCACAAATTGTGCACAGTCTGACTTATGGTTAGAAGCCATGAAGGATGAAATGAATTCCATGAAGGACAATGGAGTTTGGGATCTTGTTGAGTTGCCTAATGGGGCCAAGGCCATTGGCTGTAAATGAGTTTTTAAGACTAAAAGAAACTCATTAGGCAACATTGAGAGATACAAGGTCTGGCTTGTTGCCAAGAGATTTACTCAAAAAGAAGGAATCGATTACAAGGAGACTTTTTCTCCTGTACCAAAGAAAGATTCACTTCGGATCATTCTGGCATTAGTTGCACATTTTAATCTTGAGTTGCAACAAATGGATGTGAAAACCGCTTTCCTAAATGGTGATCTAGAAGAGGAGGTTTATATGAAACAACTTGAAGGTTTCTCTTCTAGGGGTATTGAGCATTTAGTATGTAAGCTTAAGAAATCCATATACGGTTTAAAACAAGCCTCCCGTAAATGGTATATCAAGTTCGATGGGTTAATTTCTTCATTTGGTTTTGTTGGATCCCTCAGATAATTTTATATACCAGAAGGTGAGTGGGAGTAAAATTTGTTTTTCTTATTTTATATGTGGATAACATCTTACTTGCCACCAATGATAAAGGGATGCTTCGAGATGTGAAACAATTTCTTTCTAAGAACTTTGATATGAAGGATATGGGTGATGCCTCTTATGTTATTGGCATTAAAATTCATAGAGATAGGTCCCGGGGTATACTGGGTTTATCTCAAGAAACCTATATAAACAAAGTTTTAGAGAGATTTCATATGCAAAATTGTTCACCAAACGCTGCTCCCATATCTAAGGGGGATAGATTCAGTTTGGACCAATGTCCGAAAAATGATTTGGAGAAAGAATCCATGGAGAACATCCCTTATGCTGCAGCTGTTGGATGTCTTGGATATATTCAAGTCTGTACGAGGCCGGATATTGCTTTTGTGGTTGGAATGCTAGGGCGTTACCAGCACAATCCGGGGTTAAACCATTGGAGAGCTGTAAAGAAGGTTCTAAGGTATCTCAAAGGATCCAAAGGTTACAAGCTTGAGTTTAGGCAGACAGACAATTTAGATCTTGTTGGTTATTCAGACGCGGACTTCGCTGGCTGTGTTGATTCTCGAAAATCAACTTCATGGTGCGTCTTTATTATGGCCAGTGGGGCTATCTCAGGGAGAAGTGTTAAACAGTCCTTAATAGCTACTTCTACCAT